TAGGGGGGGCGGCCGCCTCCTTAAGTGGTCGCAAAATATCTGCTCGCCCAGATTTTAGCGTCAGAGGGAAGCCAGGGATCTAGTAATAAGCATTTCTAACTTTAATGAACCTGTGATGATTCAACAGAAAGACGTGGGTCTACTAGTGACGCCCAGGTATACTCCTTGAGCCTTCGAAAGTTATGCTCACATGATATCGTCAACATTGAGTTCCAAAATCACGAAGAGCGTAAATTCTACGGGATTGAAAACCACCCAAAACTCTTCAGTGCACTGAACACTGACATAGACGTGCTAGATATGCTTTTAGAGGTGTTTACGTTTACTAGAATATTGTAACTACTGTGTTTCATCCTGTTGTCAATATTGGGCCTAGGGTTGTGTGAATACGACATGCTGAATGACATACATTTCAGCTGATGCTCAGAAACGGACAGAGAGATTGACAGTATACATATATGTGTGGTGTGTGTGTGTGTGTGTGTGTGTGTGTGTGTGTGAAATTATATACAACTTTACTTTTCATCTTGACTGAACTGACTTCCTATATATATATATATCCTATATATAATATATATATATATATATATATATATATATATATATATATATATATATATATATATATACCCGTCCATAAACAGGAAGTCCATATTCCATCTTACCTTTTCCGTTCACTGATTTGGTTTAAAATCTATTTGAACTTTGAATCATGCTGCTAAATCTTGCAGCATTCAACAGGATTCAGTTGCTTAATCATATCGGTGCTCACAGACGGAGGAGACATCTGGCACAACGACAAAGCCGACACCACCCAGAACACTGAACAAGGCGTCGTTCAAACCACTCGGAGCACTGAACAAGGTATGGTACAATCCACTCAGGCCACGGAACGAAGTGACGTTCAATCCACCCAGAACACTGAACAAGGCGTCGTTCAAACCACTCGAAGCACTGAACAAAGCGTCGTTCAAACCACTCAGAACACTGAACAAGGCATCGTTCCAACCACTCAGACCAACGAGCAAGACACAGAACACCAGACAGGTCTGTTGCCGAGAAGAACGTGCTCATTTTGTATGCATTATTCTGCATCTCTTCTGTACTCACACAGTATATCTTGATCCGAGGTTTTCTCAGCATATATTTATGGGTATAGTTATGCGCGATTCGTGTGTGTTCTTAGGGTTACATCTGCAAGAGCTTATAGAAGCAAACTTGAAACTATTAGACTAAAACTAATAACACTGCACTGCTGCAAAAGAGCTACAAAGTATTTAAGGTTTAGGATTACAGCCACTGTCCACCTGCTCGCTGTTTCTTGTCTCAAGGCGTAATTTAGTCAGGAATCTGGTGATAAGCATTACTGAATATGTTTTACCAGAAAGTCTACTGGTCTACTGGTATGATATATAGTCCTTGGTTATACTCACATCTTATCAACATGTAGTGCTTTATCACGGACAGCTTAAACTCGACGTAACTGAACATAAGCTTCACACCCGAAATTCTTTGTTTACTGAACTGAACACTGATGTAGATATACTAGATATGCTCTTACAGTTCTTATCGTTTACAGTTACATTGTGGCCGCTGTGTTTCATCCTGCTGCCACTATTGGGCCTCCTGCTGTGCAAACGAACGTACCTTTGCGGAAAGATGCACCTGCTGTGCCATGACCTCAGGACCTGTTGCCGCAACACGAAAGGAACTACGACGGGAAATGAGCAAGAAATGTCCGGACGTTTTCACCAAGCTCGGGAAGAAGGCAATGGAATGATGCATGACACAGGCAATTTTGAAGCAGTTGAAGTTGAGACAGAAAATGACACGTACATTTCTGCTGATGTTGTCCAAGGATGTGGAGACGAAGAATACGAAACAGTGAATGACATTTACGCTTCTGCTGATGTTGTCCAAGGATGTGGAGACGAAGAATACGAAACAGTGAATGACATTTACATTTCTGCTGACGTTCACCAATCCGGAAGCAACGAATATGAAACACTTACCAATATATGAATGCCAGTTGATGATTTTTAGTATGACAGAAGAGGATGTTGAATATGATGATACTTCCAAACTTATACCTGGTTTTGGACAAACTGAGGTGGCTGATGAGGAAACATGGAAAAGATTTGTATGATTTTATGTTGTCCAAAAACAGACAAGTGTGAAATGCGAAATGCTAAATGACTTGAACATTTCTATTGAAGCTCCTAAGTTCAGTTGCAAAAATATGAAACAAAGAACATATAGAAATATATATATATATATATATATATATATATATATAATATATATATATATATATATATATATAATATATGTATGTGTGTGTGTGTGTGTGTGTGTGTGTGTGTGTGTGTGTGTGTGTGTGTGTATGTATGTATGTATGTATATATATATATATATACATATATATATATATATTGTATATATATGTTTGTAAGTATGTTTACATGTATGCGTGTGTGTGTGTATATATATATATATATATATATATATATATATATATATAGAGAGAGAGAGAGAGAGAGAGAGAGAGAGAGAGAGAGAGAGAGAGAGAGAGAGAGAGAGAGAGAGAGAGAGAGAGAGAGAGAGAGAGAGAGACATAGATATAGATATAAATATAGATATGGACAAATATAAATGTATACGTATACATACATACATTTATATATATATATATATATATATATATATATATATATATATATATATATAATATATATATATATATATATATATATATATATAGCATTATGTATATGTATATGCATATGTGTGTATAAACAAATAGATATATATTTCATATTCATACACATATACACTTTTTATTAATTTATTTATTTATTATTTATATGTATATGTTCATATGTATGTACACAAATATATTTAGAAAATTCATTGATGCATTTATTCATTTATATACAAATAACTTTGTAAACATGCTTATGTGTATGTGCATATATATATATATATATATATATATAGCATATATATATAATATGTATGTATGTATATACATATATATATATATATATATATATAATATATATAATATATATATATATATATATATATATATATATATATATTTTTCTATTGGCCATTATGATGAAAATAATGATTTTCTCTAAATTAATGTTGTAATAAAGGATGTAAGAAATAAAAGTTTTTACTCATTACCTTTTTTTTGCTAGTGAGCATATGAAAAAATATATATGAATATAGACACACCCACACGCCCACATACACACACAATCGGTTCTTAGATTAACATTCACCCTCCGTGAAATCCCTGCACACTGCACATACATACATACACACACACACACACACACACACACACAACACACAAACAAACAAACATACAACACACACACAAACAACAAACAAAACATAACACACACATACACTCACACACACATAAACACACACAATCACACACCCCCCCCCCCAACACACACACACAAACAAAACAAAAAACATACACACAAACAAACACACACACATAATGATAAAAAACATTATTTTCGCTATGACTACTACGGCTTTACGTCTAATTGATGTTCTATAATGAAGAAAATAATGTCACATGTGCTTTTTTTGTTGAATCAGTGTTTGGTTCTGGCGAAAAGAAAAACTATTGTCATTTAATTAGCTCATTTAGTCGCTACTCAGAGAATTACAGACAAAGGTGTTGCCATTTCGACAGATAAACAATTCTAGTGAATAGCTTTTGCAAGTGCCCCACCACAAAGTCATTGAAAATGAATACTACAGATTTTGTAGTCATTTTTTTCGAGAAAGCGAAATATTTAGTTGTTTTTTTACTTAGTTTCAAAAGATGGATATTAATACTACAGATTTTGCTGTCATTTATTTCAAGAAAGCGAAATATTTAGTTGTTTTTTTACGTAGTTTCAAAAGATGGATATTAATACTACAGATTTTGCTGTCATTTGTTTCAAGAAAGCGAAATATTTAGTTGTTGTTTTTTTACGTAGTTTCAAAAGATAGATATTAATACTACAGATTTTGCTGTCATTTATTTCAAGAAAGCGAAATTTTTTTTATTTTTTTTTTTTTTTTTTTTTTTACGGTTTCAAAAGATGGATATTAATACTTCAGATTTTGCTGTATTTTATTTCAAAGAAAGCGAAATTTTTTTTATTTATTATTTTTTTTTTTTACGGTTTCAAAAGATGGATATTAATACTTCAGATTTTGCTGTCATTTATTTCAAGAACGATTTTTTTTTTTTTTTTTTTTTTTTTTTTACGTATTTCAAGATGGATATTAATACTACAGATTTTGCTGTCATTTATTTCAAGAAAGCGAAATATTTAGTTGTTTTTTTTACGTAGTTTCAAAGATGGATATTAATACTTCAGATTTTGTTTCATTTATTTCAAAGCGAAATATTTAGTTGTTTTTTTTTACGTAGTTCCAAAATATGGATATTAATACTACAGATTTTTGCGTATTTTTATTTCAAGAAAGCGAAATTTTTTTTATTTATTTTTTTTTTTTTTTACGGTTTCAAAAGATGGATATTAATACTTCAGATTTTGCTGTCATTTTTTCAAGAACGATTTTTTTTTTTTTTTTTTTTTTTTTTTTTACGTAGTTTCATAAGATGGATATTAATACTACAGATTTTGCTGTCATTTATTTCAAGAAAGCGAAATATTTAGTTGTTTTTTTACGTAGTTTCAAAAGATGGATATTAATACTACAGATTTTGCTGTCATATTTGAAAATATTTTAGTTGTTTTTTCACGTAGTTTCTTAAGATGGATATTCACTACAATTGCTACATTAATCAATCATTTTTCATTTTACGTAGAGATGTTTGGTTTTATTTAGTTTTTTTTACGTAGTTTCAAAAGATGGATATTAATACTACATTTACTGTCATTATTCAATTAGTATTTTTTTTACGTAGAGATAAATATACATGGATTATTTACAACAGATCTACTCTCTTTCCAACTGAGAATAACCAAGGATTTTCGTTCCACTCGTCGAATAATAATATTTATGGTGTGTTACCATCGAAGTGGATGCCAGATGTACAAAAGAGGGACACAGCAAGTGTACTGAATTCTGAACACCGGAAATGTACATATCTAGCCATGGGGTTTTCACACCAGGAACTCTGTGTCCTTATCATAATGTGATAATGAGGAAATCCATATCATATATCCTGCTTCTGTTACGTCAGAGTCTAGAGAGAGCATCCGCAACATTTATTATATCATGTGTGTGTGTGTGTTGTGTTGTGTGTGTGTGTGTGTGTGTGTGTGTGTGTGTGTTGTGTTGTGTGTGTGTGTGTGTGTTGTGTGTGTGGTTGTGTGGTGTGTGTGGTTGTGTGTGTGTGTTTTGGTGCTGGTGTGTGTGCGTGTGTGTGTGTTTTGTTGTGTTGTGTGGTGCGTGTGTGTTGTGTGTGTGTGTGTGTGTGTGTGTGTGTGTGTGTGTGTGTGGTTGTGTGTGTGTTGTGTTGTGTGTTTGTGTGCGTTGTGTGTGTGTGTGTGTGTGTGTGTGTGTGTGTGTGTGTGGTGGTTGTTGTGTGTGTGTGTGTGTGTTTGTGTGGTGTGGTGGTTGTGCGTGGGTGCGTGTGTGTGTGTGTGTGTTGTGTTGTGTACATGTGTTGTGTGTGTGTATATATGTGTGTTGTATGTATGCATATGTGTGTGTGTGTAATGTATATATATACATATATGTGTATATATACCATATATAGATATATAGATATACATTGTGTGTGTGTGTGTGCAGAAAGAGAGAGATGTACATAATTTAGTTAATATATATATATATATATATATATATATATATATATATATATATATAATATATAAATATAAATGCATTCCTCACGCTGCCGTTCTCTTTCTAGATTATTCCTCGAGAAATCCATTAAAAATAATACATAAATTTATTTCTTCCTTTATCATCCGTCTTCGTAATTAGAGAAAGAACAGTTGCCTCCTTGAAAGCTTGAAGAAAACGATCTCCTTAACGGAATGCTTTTGTTTTCGGTGTAAGTGCGTGTAAGCAAAGCCGTTAACGTCTTGTAACCTTTAAGTAAGTAAGTAAGTAAGTAAGTAAGTAAGTAAGTAAGTAAGTAAGTAAGTAAGCCGTTAACGTCTTGTAATCTATGGCTTTAAGTAAGTAAGTATAAGGTTGATTAGGCACAGTCACGTGTCATAAAAAGAGAGAGGAAATCGAATTGTACAAATGAATCAGTAAATGACATAAGTAAAGAAGGAGAAATTAATTATAAGGGACGCCTTCTAGAATCAGACACACATATGCGTTTATATATGTGATATATACATATATATATATATATATATATATATATATATATATATATATATATATATATATATATATACATATATATATACATACATATACACACACACACACACACACACACACACACACACACACACACACATATATATATATATATATATATATATATATATATATATATATATATATATATACGCACACATACACACACACACACATACACACACACACACACACACACACACACACACACACACACACACACACACACACACACACACACACACATATATATATATATATATATATATATATATATATATATATATATATGTATTATATATATATATGCATATTTAAATTTGTGTGTGCTTGTGTGTGTGTGTGTGTATATATATATATAGAGAGAGAGGGATAGAGACAGAGGAAATGAGATGATAAGAGATTAGCAGAAAATTAGAAAACATAACAAAAAGGATGAAAGAGCAAGAGAAATATACCGCTTCACCCCATCCCCCCTCCTCCTCCCCCTCCCCCTTTCCCCGCCATCGCCACCTCCCCTCCCCCGCTACCCCTCCCCCTCCCCCCTCCACCGACCCCCCTCCCCCCTCCCCCTCCCTCCCCGACCACCCCTTCCCTCCCCTCCCCCTCCCCTTCCCCCCCCCCTCCCCTCCCCTTCCCCCTCCCCCCCTTCCCCCTCCCCCTCCCCCGACCCCCTCCCTTCCCTTCCCCTTCCCCCTCCCCTTCCCCTCCCCCCTCCCCCCCTCCCCTCCCTCCCCTCCCCTCCCCCCTCCCCTTCCCCCTCCCTTCCCCTTCCCCTCCCCCCTCCCCCGACCACCCCTCCCCTCCCCCTCCCCCTCCCCCCCCCCCTCCCCCTCCCTTCCCCCTCCCCCTCCCCTTCCCCCTCCCCCCCCCGGCT